TTGACTTTTTTGACCACGGCTTCTTCTCTTTCATCAATAGTTTTGCAAGCTCTTCTCCTTTGTCTTCTTTTACTACTTCGTGATGCGTGACTAGCGGTACTTCGTGATGCGTGACTTGCGGTACCTCGCGATGTATCACTTGTGGTGTGACTTGTGGCACTTCGTGATGAGGTCTGTCTGTTTTTGAGAACTTATCATAAATCTTTTCACCGATTAACTGTCCCGTCTTTTCACCGATCTGCTCTGCTCCCTTCTCAAACGCTTTCGTAGCTGCCTTTTTAGCCATCTCCTTTGCAGCTTTCCCTGTGAGTTTTGTTGCCATTTTAGTTCCAACATTTTTGAGAGTGTTAAATATCCCTTCACCCTCTTGAAGCGAGTGATCGTTATCAAGATTGCATAAGACGTATTTGCCATTGGCATCTCTTTTCATCTGCTTTCGAACCATTTTATTTCAAGTGCACGCAATAAAATTTCTATTGTTTTGAAAACGATCTTCTCTTATTTCAGGAGAAGTGTTAATGAAACGGGTAGACCGTTGAGGTCGAGTGGTCTTCCCAGTGAATCATTGATATAGATTTGTAAATCTTTTATAGCTCCTGTGTTTATTTTGCTGTACTTTTTCTCTCTTGGTTCGATATGGAAAGGGTAAGAGAGGGGGAGATTGTCAACGCTGAATCGAAACAACACATCTGATTGTTCACCATCAACAACACTCTCTGAGATGATGTTTCTACGAACGTAGATGTCATCGACAGATCTTGTTATGTTAGGGAATTTTTCACCATAGCTAATTGCTGTGACAATCTTTTTTGTAAAGCCTATGAGATCGGCAAAATCTCCGTTTTGCAGATCGACTTGAAAATCGTCTTCGAGACCGATTAGAACTTTGAAAAGCGCTGGGACAAATTTTATTGTGATACCTGTCTTTGAATGTTTTGATCCCTCGAGTTCTCTCTGAACATAAGCGTCCAGTTCTTCGTATGCGAAATTCCCATCCGGGAGTTCAATCTCATGCCATGTCGTACCCGAATAGTGACTATATTTTAGTTTATTATTGTTATAGCTGCTGCTCACATTGTCCCAGCTGTATGACATCGCAATTTCATCGAGAGCAACAAAATACTCTCTGTTTGGATCAAACCTCATCACAGGATTGAAAGATGTTGTGAAATTATGGCTCCACCCTCTCTTACAAGTCAAAGAGTTGAGATATATAGGTGTTGAAGAGCGATGTTGTGATTCTACTAGTCTCTCTGTCAATTCCAGAAGTCTCTCCATCATGTTAAGTGTTTCTGAATATAGGCGCTATATTGTTCTTTCGAAATTTTATTCTTTTTGACGAGGTGATCTAATATTTCTATCGCTTCATTTCTCAACTGAATACTCGAATTACCAGCATCGATACTCCCTGTCAATTTAATGAGTCTGTCTTCCAGATCTTTGAAATCAGAAAATATAGTCCCTCCGGTCAGTTTTGCTTTTCCAGACGATTTATGAGTAGGAATGTTTGCGAGCTTGCTAAGATCTTTGAATATCTGTATCGCCTTTGACGAATACTGTCCTTTGGGATTATATCTCTTTGTCAACAGATTAACGATCCCTCTGTCACCCTGTCTTTCATAAACAACAGCACCGGTTGAAGGGTTGCTCGCTTCAACAACCATTTCATTTATTAATCGTGTGGGGTTTATCAAGAGACCGCCGTACTGTCCTTTGCTATCAACCTTGTAAACATTTCGCTTCTTCTGTGTATATTTTCGCTTTGAGTGACCCTTACCCTCTTGTGTGATAAAAATCTTATCGCCTCCCGCGAGCAAATTTATGCGGTCAATATATTTTTTCAGTGTATCAACTTGGCGCACGATATCATCTATTTTATCCTTATTTTTTTCCTTATTCTTCGAAAGACCGGCCTAGACATGGTTTGCTCTCGCGATTTTTTCACCAAAATAAACCAACTACGTACATCAAACTACAGCAAACTATACCGAACTTTACCAACTACCTACATCAAACTACACCAAGCTAAACCTACTATTACATTAAACATTCTTAATACCCATTTTCACCTTCTCCCAAATTAATCTGATAACGAAAACAAAGGGTTTTCAGACCAACACCAAACTACGCCTGCTCCATTAAGCTACACCGAGCTAAACCCTGTACACCAAATTCTACATACCACACCAAACTACACCTACTACACCAAAATATACCACACCTACCACACCTTCTTTACTAAACCCCACCAAACTAAACCTATTAAATCAAACTACACTAACTTCACTATATTGTACCTACTACACCAAACTACACCCACTACACAGAACTGCACCAGACTACACCTTCTACACAAAACTACACCAAACTTCACCAAACTATATCAAACCTCACCAAACTACACCAAACTACACCCACTACACCTTCTTCACCAAACTACACCAAATTATACCTACTACACCCAACTACACCCACTACATCTTCTTCACCAAAATACACCAAGTTGTACCTACTACACCCAACGACATCTACTACACCAAACTACATCTATTACACCAGCTTTACCTACTTCACCAAAGTACACCTACAAAACTGAACTTAACCTACTACACCTACCCCAAAACACTGTAATAAACTACACCTGCCACACCAAACTACACGTAGTACACTATACCGCGTTAAACTGCACCTACCAAAACTGGTACACTTACATCCTGGTCGTATTAGAGAAGGTTTTTCATAGATGGTGCAGAACCTTTTTCCATATTTGCGATGGTAATCAGGGATCTATTTCCCAATATGGAGTCACATTTAAGTCAGTATTAAAAGAAAATATTCTATTGTTAAACTATAATCGTTTTAAGTTCAGTTCAGCTGGCCATTGTTGAACATGTAATTGACATATGAAAATTGAAACTTCCCAAGAAACAATATGCAAGTTCCAGCCTACACCGTGCCTTTTACTTACTCGGACATTTCCTTCGCTTTCTTCTGGTTTAGTACCAATTTCCATGTCATGTACGGTAGATAGTCCTACGCCATTTTTCATTTCTATTTCTACTCGATCACCAGAGAAATTAAGAGGAGTATGTCCGCTTTCCACATGAACAACGGGACTTCTCACTGCTCC